TTCCTGCCTGCTCCCAAACACGCACAGGCTTCACCATCCCACCCTTCACAATGGCTCGTATGCTCTCCGTGGCCGCCCTGGCCGTGCTCCTTTTGGCCGCGCCTGCCCTCGCGGCCCGCGACCTCAAGCAGCTGGATTCCGTCACCGGCGCCGTGAATGGCCTCCTGGGCACCGTCGGCACCACCGTCGGTCGCCTCCCCGTTGTCGGCCCCGTCGTTGGGCCTGTTGTCGGCACCGTGGGCGGCACCGTGGGCGGCCTGCTCAACACCGTCGGCGGCGTTGTCAACACCGTCACCGGCGTTGTTGGCAGCCTCCCTGTCGCCGGCCCCGTCGTCGCCCCCATCCTCAACACCGTTTCCGGCACCGTGGGCGGCGTGGTCGGCACCGTGGGCGGCGTCGTCAACACCGCCACCGGCCTTGTTGGCGGCCTGACCGGCGGCCTGACCGGCGGCCTGCTCGGTGGCGTGACCGGCGGCCTGCTGGGCTGATTGCACAAATTTGACTTGTTTTCGCTTTTTTTTCAAAATAACACGTGCGATGCACTGCACTATCATCCTGTACGCTGCCGCTGTTCCATGCATAGTACACGCTGTGCAGCCTTTTGCTGTTTGGGGCTCCCTGCAATCCCGGGCGTGTCCTGCATACTGCACATGTAATTTGTGGCCCATCCACTGCACTGCAGCGGCTGATTGCAACTACACTGTGTAATCGTACCAACAACTTTAGCGCTCCGAATCAAATGTGACGCTCTGTCTGCATCAGCAAATGTGATGATTGGCAGGTGCTTTGACCATCTCCTAAGATGGCACAATTGCTGAATTAGCTGCACGTGCACTAATGGCTGCGCTGTGCTGGCAGCTGAAAGCCCTTGCGACAGCCTCAAGTCCAGTGATTCAAATGACAGGTGAAAAAGAAACACACCTAGCCATCTATCAACACAACAACCAATCGCACACCTTGCTGTGCACAGGATTTGCTCTAGGCTTCAAGGAATGGAGGTTGATGAATGTGTGTGTGTGTGTGTGTGTGTGTGTGTGTGTGTGTGTGTGTGTGTGTGTGTGTGTGTGTGTGTGTGCGCGCGTGCGTGCATGGTGCGCGTGCACCGCGCCTGAACCTGCACTTATCAAGCGGGCGCGTCTGTGCGCCGCCCTCGCACCCCTAATCCATGTGAATTATGGGGGCTGGGTCGCCCGCATCACAGCAGTGGGCTTGTGCTCGGTCTCTGCAGCGGCTGCCTTGCAGCAAGTTGCAGGGGCACGCACACCCACCTCGAGTAATTCTCTGGGCGTTTGTTGGGGTTTGAAGCGCAGCCCCACCGGCTGCTTCATAACAGCGGGCGGCTTGCACCCAAAGAAAGTCTGCCTGCTCACTTGCACGCATGCCTGCCGTTACACATGCTCATGTCAACAGATAATGTGGTTGCAGTTGTTTGAATGCTGCACTCATGAAGCACAGCTGTCTCCTGCTGCTTTGCTGCCAATGCGGTAGGTTGTGAGCGCACCACTTGTCCTAGCCTTGTGAGCACCTCGTCCTTGCCAGCCCGCCATCATACACGAGGCCGCGTGCTCTACCTCTTCCTGACGCATCCATCAAGTCTTAGCAAGGGTGAAAAGTTCATCATGGGCGTATACAGTCCCAACAGATCTACGCACGGTTCAAACGCCGTTGTGCCTAAGACTGTCACTTTGCAGCTGCTCCAGGTCTTGACTCACGTATCTACCGTATCTTTGCACTGCGCAGGTTTGCGATATATGTTGTCCTTTTTTGCGTTATAAGTTTACTATCATAAGCAAGGTTCTTCGCTTCCTCTCTACACTGCTGATGGATCTGGCTAGGCGAGGCATCCAGACATGTCGTCCCTTGGCGGCCTGACAAAGACAAAAAGGTGTCAGCTAGGCAAAGATTGTACACAACCCCGGGTACACAGGGGCATAGCGACCGGGCACACTGTGCACTTGGACCAACCTGCTGCGCAGCGAGCCATCGAGTGCGGAGGCTGCGGTAGCTTCTTATGCTGCGCGGATTGTGCACAGATTCACCTGGCAAAGGCCGGACCCCGCTGCTGTGCGGTGAGCGGGAGAAGTGATCAGAGTTGCGTGAATGTGCTGAGCCTGGTTCGACGTTTTTCAGTGGATTTTGCACCACACACGGCCACTATGGACTGAGTCGCGTCTTACATCGAACGATATCCCACGTCACGCTGCCCACCCCCCCCCAACATGGCATGCGCCGCACTCAAACCGCCAGATGGGGTGCTCTCAATTTCAACTTGAGACCTACCGCGCGAGGCAGGCTGCGGCAGCAGCAGCAGCAGCAGCATCAGCAACTGCAGGGCCACCCTCCCAGGCTGTGGCCCCCGTCGTGCAGCAGCATCCGTCAGCTTCGACGCCACGCCGCCCGACAGCCCCAGCCGGCGCCGTCCCCTGCGCCATGAGCGCGCCGCCGCAGGCGGCCAGCCGCGGCCCCGGCACGCCGCCCCCCGCGCCGGCGCACGCGGGTTCGCTTCCCATTAGCGTGCACGAGCCAGCAGCTCCGGCCGGCTCGCCAAGCATGACAGCTGTAGACGTGATGCGCGCCATGCGCCTGCAGTCGGCGCCGGCGCCCGCCCGCTCCCCGCTCGCGCCGCATGCGGCTGCCATGGAACACGGCGCCTCGGGGCCCGCCATGGGGCCATGGGGCCAGTCGGCGGTGCCCGGCGCCCGCGGGGCCGCGCATGACGCTGCCGCAGGTTATGAGGCCGGCGTCTCCAGCGGGGCGCCCGGCAGCACATGGCAGGCCTTTGCAGCGCCCGCAGGCTTCCGCGGCGCCGCCGCCTGCGACAACAGCATATGGGCGGCGCCAGGGCCCATGGCGCCTGGCTTTCCGGCTGCCAATCCCCTCACCTGGCGCAACGGGCCGCAGTTCCAGCAGCAGCAGCAGCAGCAGCAGCAGCAGCAGCAGCACCAGCAGCAGCAAGAGCAGCAGCAGCAGCAGCAAGAGCAGCAGCAGCAGCAGCGGCCGCCGGGGTCGCCAGTTGCTGCGATGACGGTTGATGGTGACGCCATGCCGCCGGCCCTGCCTGACAGCGCCATCGGCGACACGCACGACCCATCCGCCGCGCCAGCGCACGGCGGGCCAGCGCAGGGCGCCCCAGGTGGCACCAGCGGGCGCGGCCAAAGCGGTGGAGGGGTGACACAGCGCCTCGGAGGCGCCCAGCAGCAACACGCGGCCAGCCCTGGCCCCAACGACAAGCTCTCGCGCCGGCGCTTGCTGCGCGCAACGCGCTCGGCCCCCCAGGCGCCTCAGCCCGGCGGCACCGCTCCCGCCGCGCCGCCAGGCGGCGAGGTGCCTTTCGAGGAGCCCGCGCCTCTGTCAGCCGCGGGGCCGTCGTCTGGCGAGGCTCAGCCGCCGCCTGGGGCCCCGCCGCCGCCCGCCGCGGGGCCGCCGTCAGCCTCAGGGCCGCCGTCATCCGCGGCGCCGCAGCTGTCTCCCGCGCCGCCGCCCCCCGCGGCACCGCCGCTGCCCGCCGCAGGGGGGTCCTTCGCTGCGTGGTTGGGGTCGTCCGCGGCGCCGCGGCTGTCTGCGGCGCCGCCGCCTCCCGTGGCGCGGTCGCTGTCTGCTGCAGGGCCGTCCTTAGCCACGGGGCTGCCGCCGCCCGGTGCTTTGAATGAACCACTAAAGGCAAAGTCCTACACTCCCCTGATCAACTACGCTGGCCACCCGGCATCTGGCGGCCATGGCGTGGGAGGCAGCAGCATCAACAGTCCCTCCACGGCCGCCCGGGCGGGCCCTGCTGCGACCCAGGGCCCCGCCCCTTGCGGCGCTGGTGCAGCCGACGCCGGTGGCGGCGGCGGCGGTGAGGAGGAGAAGGGCAGCGGTGAGGCGGAGGGCGGCGGTGAGGCAGAGGGCGGCGGCGCGGCGGATGGCGGCGGCGGTGGAGAGGCAGAGGTCCGCGCAGAGCAGGAGGACGATGACGAGGACTCGCTCAAGTTTTGGGTCACTGACGTGGCGGCCGGCGCAAACGCCACCCTGCCGTCCCTGCCAGAGGCGCGCTCGCGCCGGCCCCTGTGCCTGCCGATCGTCGCCACATCAGCCAGAGCGGGTCCCGGCACCACGGAGATCATGACAGTGCTGGACGGGTTGACAGTGGCGATGAACATCATGGACGACCCACGGCATGACCTGACCACCGAGTTCGCCGCCGCGGCGGCTGTGGCGGCGGCCAAGTGCCCCCGCGGGCGCAGCTACCGATGCTCGCCGGGCGGCGCCGCAAGCCACGTCATGCGCATGTACGCGCTCGGGCGCGTGGCGCGCTGCGGCGGCGAGCCGCGCCCTGCGATCCTCATGGAGTGGGCGGGATGGGAAACGCTGCGGGAACGGATCTACTACTATGACTTCACCCCCCAGGCGAGCCGCTCGCGCTCGCGCCAGCGCGAAGCCCGCGCCGGCACGCCGCCCGCACATCCAAGGGGATCCGCCCAGTGCAAGGCCTACGGCGCAGCATGCACCTGGGGCCCCGGGAACGCTGCCCATGGCATCCCAACCTTCGACGCACGCGCCATGACCCGCGACTCGCTGGCGGTTCCCTGCGCCAAGCCGATGCCCCATCCTCATCTCTGCCGATCCCTGCCCATTTTGGGGCCCCCCAACCCTCCCTGCCCCCAGGAGCTGCGCCAGGTGACGCTGCAGCTGCTCGTCGGGCTGCACCAACTCGACGTGCACGCGCACGTAATCCACCAGGTGGGGCTTCGGGGGATGCCGTCATGCACTCACATTCGCCCACACGCGCCACCTAGGGTATTGGCGACACTAGCGCGTCCGACGCGCGTGCCGTGTGCTCAAATGCACGCGGCTCTCGCGCGGGCCGGGCGTTGCATGCGAGCACGCACCTGTATCAGGGCACGTGCGTATGACCCCAATGCGTCGTGTTTTGGCGGCAGCTCCCATCAGCGCCCCCGCGACCCAAATTTGCGCCCTCGCCACCCCCTGCCGTCAGCCATCTTTGAGATTTCCCCACCCTCCCCATGCTTGTCAACACAGTCCTATCCCAACTTCCAAACCACATGGCATCAACCCCTGCCCGTGCCCACCCTGCTGCCTGCACTCTGTCTTCCGTCTGCACCCCCCAGGACATCAATCCGGGGAACGTGCGCATGTTCGGCCTGAAACCGATGCACGTGAAGATTTGCGGCTTCGGCCTGGCGGTCATCGCGCACGGCAAGGTCAGTCACTCATCAAACATCGGCATGCACGGGTATGTCGCGCCAGAGATCGCGCTTCCGGCCGGCGGCGGCCGCAGCGGCGAGGGCGACGGCGGCGGCGGCAGCGGCAGGAGCGACGGCGGCGGCGCGGGCGGCGGCGGCGCGGCGCACACCGCGTCATGCGACCTGTTTGGCGTCGGAGTCACGGTGCTCGAGCTCGCGGCCCGCGCGCGCCTGGAGCCGGCCGTCGCCGCGCAGTGCGGCTACGACGGCCCCTTCCCCCTCGCGCAGCGCGTCATGGACACGTCGCGGCCGCCGCTCGCGGACGACCTGCCGCCGGTGTTCGCGGCCGCGGTGCGCGCGGCGGACCCGACCGGCGGGCTGCAGGATTTCCTGCGCGCGGCGCTCGCGCCGGCGGGGCGGCGGCCGACGGCCGACCGCGTGCTGACCATCGCCTATGAAGCCGCAGGGCAGGAGGACCCCGGGGGCAGCTGCTTCCAGTGGCTGCTGCGCGGCCGCAGGTGAAGCGTCGGCCGCGAGGCGTCTGGCTGCGCGGGCCCCTCTCTCGCGCCCGCGCAGCACGTACGCAGCTGGGCCCTCGATGCTGCCCGCTGCGCCCCGCCCGCGATCCCCAGGGCCCCCACCCCACCGCCCGCCGCGCCACCCCTGGCCGCCATGAGCCAACATGAAAGGTACGCCCGGGACGCCGCCGCGCCACCCCACGCCCGGGGCCCCAGGCCTGCGACCGTCCACTGACCCAGCAGCCCAGCCATTCGTCTAAGCGGGCCCTCGCCCCAGCCTAGGCTGCCCTTTGCTGCGCCGGCCCATGCCAACGCTCGCTCTCGGCTGCGCGGCCTCGGTCTGTTTAAAGTCACCGCACGCACCCCACCTGCCCTGCTGCCGTTTCATAGATGCGCGGGGGCACTAGGTTTAGCCGCTGAGCTGCCGCCGATAGCCGCAGGACGCGCGCCCTGCTGCCATTTGTGTGCGCGGGCGCTCCAGCTTCACGGACACCTCGATCACCCTGATTCCGCTTTGACCCTGCTTGAGAGAGCTCCAGCAATAGATAGCCGAGATTAGGCGTATCTCGATCGCTTTGCTGCCGATCTGAAGATGCGCGGGCGGTTCAGGTGTAGACAACCGCAACACGACCGCCCTGCCGCCGTTTGACTTGTGTGCGGGCGGCGGCTCCATCTGTTTGCACGCAGCCTGGCCTGGCTTCATGCTGTCTCCTGCCTGCGCTTGCGCCCGGCCCTCACCCGACCAGGCCCACCCTGCGCAGCCAAGCTTTACGTGTGTCCGGCTGCGCGCCGCGGCATGGCGCCCGCAGCTTGCTGGCCCTGTCGCCACGCGCGACGGCGGCCTGTCGCACACCTGCAGGGTTGCGGCCTTGCCCCCTTGCCCCCTGGCGGGATCACGAGCTCCTCAGTTCACAACACGAGTGTGTCTCCTTGCACCGCAGGAGACTGCGACCAACAACCCCTCAACGCATCGCGACTGTGCAAACCCCTGCACCATTGCCCCTGGCAGCGCACCCGCGCCACCAGAGCCAATCAAAAGATGCCAATCGGCGCACGCAAGCGCAATGAGATGCGTCCTCGTCCGCATGCATCCTTGCAGGCACGGGCGTGCCGCACATACAACTTGCTCTAAATCCCAAAGATTTTCCACGGTCGAAAGCAAGCCGTGCATTTGCACGCAACCCAGACGCTTCCCTGCACCAACAGCCCCATTTTGCTTCCCTGCTCCCGTGACCTTCTTTGCCGAGCGCCTCAGCCACCCGCGCCGCGCCTTTGGCGCGCTCCAGGCGCGCTGCCGGCTGCACCCGGCCGCAAGGCTGCAGCAGCCGCAGCCGCGCCCGTCAGCGCAGCTGTGGGAGCCCGTGGCCCCTGCACGCGTGCCCCCTCCCCCATGGATCACCCAGGCTGCCTGCTTCATCACATCTTCTTTGCCCTCCACGCACAATGTCCCAAGCCTGAAAACAACCGCTCCCAACACAAGAACCGGTCAACCGGCTGGGGCAGCCCGGCTGGAAAATGCCCCACCCTGCCTTGAGCTCACTCTGGCTTGCTATGCCGCCCAGTGTGCGCGCTGTATTCCGCACTGCGACTGCATGCCACGGCCATTCGCGCCTTCAGAGCTTTTGTGAGGAGCCTGCCCAGGGCTAGGTGTCTCAGGCCGCACCGCCAAACGCATGCATGCAGGCTCATGGCCCCTCTCTTGCCATTACGCCCACAACCAACAACAAGCGCGCACCTGTGCCCCCTCTCTGTCCACCGCGAAGCCGTCGGGAGTGGCGCGGCCGCCAAGAACCCTCTCGCGCAAGAGCATGCACGCCGTGCTTGAGTGCCACCATCAGCCCAGCACGCGATGAGGCTGCACGATGTCTTTGCCAGCGCCCTTGGCTGGCAATCGCCGCCTTCATGTCCCCCCGTCTTGCCCCTCGTCAATGGAGGCAGGGGTGCATTTTTTGCAGAAAACAGCGACGATCGTGAGAATGTGGGTGTGCGCCTGCCCCCAAGTGTGTGCCTGCCTTCTCGTGCGTGTTTGCCGCGCAGTGCGTCATGAGTAACCAAGGCTTGCTGGCGGAATCACTGTTGTCCAATCATCTGTGGGCGCCCATGAGGCGTCCGGCAGCAACAGCGGGGACTATGAAACAAGCCAAGCCAGACTGCTGTGCTGCATGCAGCCCCAAGATGCCAGCAGGGGGTGGGAGGTGGCAGTTGAAAGACGGAAAGATGAAAGGGCGTTGGGTGCGTGGGTGCATGGGTGGGGTTGCCGGCCGGATGGAGCCACCCAGTCTCAGCTGCCGCCGCAGCAGGCGATGCCGACGGTGCTGCGGCCAGCCCTCTGCCACACCCGCATACGCCTGTGCCTACGAGCCGAAGGGCTTAAGACGAATTACCATGGCCGTGACCACTCGAGATCGCCCGGGCATGCCCCAATCGCTGTTTGCGAGACACCCTCGCCGGCGTGCGCGCACGCGCGCAGTAGTAATTATTTAATTGCTCGTCACTCAAAGCAGGCGGCCCTGAACAAATGTGACACACACGAGCTCGCGCCCCCCCCCTTTGACAACCCCTGCCCCTCCAGCGTCACCGAGCGCCTCCGACCCCGCTGCCGGCCGCCACGCTCATGCCGCCGCCTCCCCGGCCCCGCCAGCCGCCCGCGCCTCCTGCGTGGCAAGCTGCTCCGGCGTCAGCGCGGGCCTCACGCCGATCAGGCTGTCGCGCGTGACCAGGCGCCGCAGCCGCTCCTCCGGCCAGCCCTCCGTGCCTTCTGGGCGCTGCGGAATAACGATGTACCGCTGCGCGTTGGGAATGTGCGTATGGTTGGGGGCGGTTGAAGGCGTTTTGGTGAATTGGTAGTCCAAGGTAGCGAAGGGCTGGTTGGCATGGGCGGTTGGGGGCGCTGAAAGGCGGGGGTGATGTGAGCGTCTCAAGGTCGGGTGCGACGATGTGAGTGGTTTGGGACGGTTGCTGCTGGCGGGGGGGGGGGGGGGG